TAGCGCGTACACCCGAACTCCTCGACTCGTCACATTCGGCCTCAACTATCGGCCCAACCCTTTCTCGAGTCACGTCCGGCACTGTCGCCACATTGCCGAACCTACCCACGTTCCGAGGTTATCGCCCTACCATGCACACCCCTATATAACCTCGTGCCTTCATTGCAATAGCGACCTTGTATTCTCACGTTATAGTACATTGACGCTTCGTATATCATAACAGCTGGTATCAGAGCCCGAGCTTTCCAGGAACCTTCCGCTCTCCCGTTTAATTAGTGAAGGTGGTCAGAGGGGATTAGCACGGCTGCACAGCAGTTGTCTTCGATCGTAAACATTTTTACGTCAACAACTACAGCGTGTGCGCTAGCTTCTGCCCCTTCTTGACCGCCATGACCCCGGTAGACTCGACGGTTGAGGGACAGACGACCTCGACTGCTGCGAAATCTGCCCGGGAAACAGTGGACCTGTAAGCACTAATGGAGCAGCTGAATAATTTGACAAGCGTCGTCAACAACCTCCGCGACGAAAACCAACGACTTCGCCAGGCGCAGGAAAGGCGTTCAGAGGAGCCGGGAGACGATGCACGAAACGAGGCGGGTGAGCAGCAACCGTCGCCAGTTAAGCTGGCACAACTAGCAGCAACAGCCCCGCGCTCGACAAGTGGCGGCGTGAGATATCAGCAACCCGCTCCTTTCGACCCAGCTAATAAAGGCGTGACGGTGCGGCAGTGGATATTTGCCATGAATATCTACTTTAACGCGGCGGGCATCCGAGACAATCAGAAGCGAATCAGCCATGCGTTGACACTGCTGCAAGGGGCCGCCCTACAGTGGTGGAAGGTCATCGTCGACTCAGCGGCAACTCACACAGAAGGACAGCATGAGTGGTCCGAAGAATTCGGCAACGAAGACGAGGCAGATTTTCTGTTTGGTGCAACCCACATTCGCACGTGGGCAACGTGGTGCGCAGAGCTTCGCAAACGGTTTGAGCACGCTCCTGACTCAGACAAAGCACGCGAGACTCTACGCATGTGGAAGCAGATGGGTTCTGTGTCTGAATACATCGCGCCATTCTTGACGTTGGTGGACCGATGTGGCTACATGCACGAGTTGGAGAAGGTCGACAGGTACATGGGTGGGCTGAAGCCTGAAATACGGTACCATATAAAATTGCAACGCCCTGCGAAGCAGTTACAAGACTTAATCCAATTCGCCGAAGCCGCTGATTCGCTCACGAAGCCGAGGACGAACTTCTACGACGGAGGTCGTCCTCGAGAACATTACCAGCATGCCACGATAAAAGGGATGGACGCAGTGGATATTTACGCAGTTGCTCCGCGAAATACGAGGCTATGCTACCACTGTGACCGATCGGGTCACATCCGACGCAACTGCCAAGAATTCATAGCCATCCAGAATTCTATGGGGAAGAAGCCGGAGGAGCGACCGGGAAATGGGTCTCGTCAGTAAGTACTGGGCCCCTTACTGACGGACAGGCTTCCTCTCCCGAGCCACACAGTCCCCACCAGGTCGTGATCCCGATTGCTGCAATCGACCGGACCCGGACGAATAAGGGGGACGAAACTGCTGATCACCCTGTGTTGGTGGAGGGTAAAATCAACGAGGTGTTGCTGAAAATATTCGTTGATGGAGGCGCGAGTCATAGTCTCAGATAGTTGGACAGGGCTAAAAAATTGGGCATTCCTTTGCTCAAGTGTTTACCCAAAATTGACGCCCGCCTAGTAGATGGAACACCGCTGGCTATACGGGAGCGCGTGGAGAACGTCATTTTTCATTGCGGGGAACACGTAAAATTTCGAATGGGGCTACTGGCGACTACACTCGACGGATGCGATGTGCTGCTGGGACGGGACTGGCTGCGACAGTACAACCCGAAGATCGACTGGACGACGGGCGGCTGCAACATAAACCTTGAGGGGATTCTCCGCGAACTACCAAAATGGATGGGGCCTCGCATGCGAAGCACCCAAGTCCATGTGATAACTTTCAAGCGAGCGATAAAAGTGGGAGCTGCAAAAAAAGATGGAGGATTCCACATGTGCATCGACTACCGCGCGCTCAACAGGATCACGATCAAGTCGCGTTACCCAATCCCGCGAGCTGACGAACTACTCGACCAACTTCGCGGAGCCAAGTTCTTCTCGAAAATTGACCTACGAGGAGGTGACCATCAAATTCGCGTCGCCACCGAAGATTGTCACAAAACCGCTTTTCGCACCCGCTACGGTAGCTACGAATACTTGGTGATGCCTTTTGGCCTCACGAACATGCCCTCGACATTTCAGATAACCATGAATGGCATTTCCAGGGAACTCTTGGATAAATGCGTTATTATCTACCTCGACGACATCCTCATCTACAGCCGCAGCAGGGAGCAACACTTAAAGGATCTTGATGCAGTCTTCAAGCTGCTGCACAAGAATCTCCTCATCACGAAAGGGTCTAAGTGCGACTTTCTTAAGCAGGAGTTGGAGTTTTTGGGCCACGTCGTTTCTACCGAAGGAGTGAAAATCGACCCAAAGAAAATCAAGACCATACAGGAATGGAAGCCGCCAACCAACATCAAAGAGCTGCTGAGTTTTTTGGGTTTCGTCAACTATGTCCGCCGATTTATACCTAATATGGCTGGGTTATCCGCCCCGCTAACCGACCGGCTCAAGGATCACGATTGCTTTTGGAGGGGAGAGAAGCAGCAAGCTGCATTCGACCAACTGAAGATCGCCCTCACGTCGCCGCCCGTTCTTCGCATCTCTGATCCTGACCGTCCATACGAAGTCATCACCGACGCCAGCGACATCGCCATCGGTGCAGTTCTCCTCCAGGATTTCGGCAACGGGTTACAGCCAGTTGCCTACAAATCACAGAAGCTGAGCGCGGAGAAAAACTATACAGTACACGACAAGGAAATGCTGGCGATCGTCCACGCGTTCAAGACCTGTCGGTGTTACCTGACAGGTGCTGACGTCACTGTGCGGACCGACCACAAATCCTTACTGTACCTGCGCGCCCAATCGAATCTCAACCCGCGACAGATCCGATGGCTCGATTTCCTCGAATCGAATTTCCATTATACCATCACCTACAAATGGGGTGCCAACAATATCGCCGATGCCCTGACCAGACCCACTGCCCATACCGCCGCCATACTAGTCGCCCAGACCAGCCCACTCCTTAACGGACTATTTACCCACGGCTACAAGATCGACCCCTTCTTCCGCTCTGCTATTCATCAACAGCACACCATCGCTACCGGACAGTATTTTAATAAGCGCGATACTTCCCGCATCTGGGTGTCCGGCTACGATTTACTTCGTACCCTTTTAATACAGGAATCCCACGACAACCCTACATCCGGGCATTTCAGAGTCGACAAAACTACGAAGACGTTGCAGCGCAACTATTATTGGCCGAACATGGCTGACGACGTGTGCAAGTATGTGTCCTCCTGCACCGCCTGCCAGATCATGAAATCCTCTCATCAGCGAGCAGCTGGGCTACTACAACCATTGGATCCACCCGAGCAACCCTGGCAACACATCACGATGGACTACGTGACAAGACTGCCAGCCGGTCCCAGCGGACACGACGCCATCCTCGTGGTCGTTGACCGACTCACGAAAATGGCGCACTTCATCGCCGACCAACAGACAATTACAGCTGAGCAAACTGCCCAACTGTTCATCGCCAACGTTATCCGACTGCACGGACTGCCTACCGAATTATTTCAGACCGAGACCCGAAATTCACATCGAATTTTTGGCGCCACTTGTGGGACTAGTTCGGCGCCAAACTATAGTTTTCCTCCGCCTTCCACCCACAGACCGATGGGCAGACCAAACGAGTCAACCAAACTATGGAGCAACTCATTTGGACTACCTGTACTGACCCACAGACATGGGAGAAATCCCTTCCGCTGCTGGAATTCGCGTATAATAACGTGCCCTCCGCCACAACCCATCAGACCCCATTTTTCGTCAACTACGGACAGGACCCAGTACTACCCACTACCACGAACATCGTGACACCCGTGCCCTGGTCCCAGAAATTTGCTGAAGACATTCTCGCCGCCCGCGAAAAAGCAGCTGAGGCAATCAGGAAAGCCAACCTGGTCGCAAGCCGACAAGCCGATCGTCATCGAGGTGACGTCACTTACAAAGTGGGAGATCTCGTACTCCTCGACACTCGCAATTTGCGGCTGGCGATCCCGAGCAAGCTCCGACCCAGATTCTATGGGCCTTTTCAAGTGACAAATATGGTGACACCTGTCACTGCTCACCTTCGACTCCCGGCTGATTGGCTTCACCACCCGGCTTTCTACGTCGCCAGTTCGTTGGACCTGGCGCGCCAACGTGGTGCACCGCAACTGACACCCCTGCATGAACCGACCACCGAGCCCTTAAAAATCCTCGGCCATCGAGTCACGACGCAGCTGAACCGTCGGATGGTTGATTTTCTCGTCCGCTGGCGCGATCGCACGTCAGAAGATGACAGATGGGTGCCGCTCGCTGAGCTAGAATCACACCCGATTCTAACAGCGTATTATCAGCGTCGGAATGTTTCCGATGCCCGCGGTCTCGTTTAGGAGGGGGGGGTAGTGTAAGGAATTTCCATTCCTTACTGAGTCGTACGCTAGCGCGTACACCCGAACTCCTCGACTCGTCACATTTGGCCTCAACTATCGGCCCAACCCTTTCTCGAGTCGCGTCCGGCACTGTCGCCACATTGTCGAACCTACCCACGTTCCGGGGTTATCGCCCTAGCATGCACACCCTTATATAACCTCGTGGCTTCATTGCAATAGCGACCTTGTATTCTCACGTTATAGTACATTGACACTTCCTATATGATAACATTTGTAAAGTTTGTTACACACCTTAATATGCAGCAACTACCTACAAACCTGGCATTCTCCAAGATCCGCCCAACCCTGAACCAGTCTACCTCCCTCCAGCTTGTGGCAGTTTTGTTGTCATCTTGCGAGCTGACTGGTTGTACCCAGCGCACTTCTCGTCTCTTGGGCCAATGGCGTCCGCGTTCGCTCTCCCATGCCATGTGTCGCCCTCGCGATCCCCGCCAGCAGTGCTGTCGCAGGGTCCAGCAGCAATGCCGTCTTCTCCCTTCGCCGCCGCCTGTAAGCGAGTGGACCACCCCGTGCTATCCGGGTTGCTCTCTGTCTCCGTCCCACTCCGCCTCGCCTCACCGCACCGTCTGTTACCAAACCGTCCCCTCGACGTGGAGCCCGTTGAATTCGTGTCGCACCGCGCGACCGTCCTCGCCACCAATGTCAGCAGCGCGACTGAGTTCCGGAGCGGCCCGTGCGGCAGCGGCAGCGCCCTTTTACAACGCGCCCCCCTATCGCACGCCGGGGAAACCGTTTTCCTCCACGGCGCATTCGCGCACTGCATGCTGCGCGCGCCGGCGCATTTGCATGCACATCCGCGGAATCGTTCGGGGGTGCTTGTCGCTGCGCGACAGAGGCACGCGTCGCGCTTAGCGTCCTCGTCGGCAGGTCCGCGCCTGCCATGTGGCGGTCCGCATCCCCCCCAACTCGCGCATCATTCCCGCTCCGCGCGGAGACGAGCACCCATCGCGCAGGGGAAGGACACGGAGGGCGCGGGGGAAGCCGTAGCAGCGGAAGACGAAAAGGCTGCGCCGTGGCAGCAAGGCGACTCCGAAACGCCGGCACCGCCGCCGCCGCCGCTGCCGCCTTCGGCGCAACAGCAATTTCAGATGGAGGCGGGGGGGCAGGCGGAAGGGGCGGCAGCTGCGGCGGTAGCGGGGGAAGCGGAGGGGGCGCGCGGAGTGTTTTCAGTGGAGAGCGGGAAGTGGCGCGTGCGCATGGCCGCGCGCGAGGAGATGAAGGCGGTGGCGGACCTCCAGGCGGAAGTGTTCCACGACCCGCCGCCCGCCCCGCTGTCGGCGCTGAACGCGTTCTTCCTAGAAATGTTCAAGGTGGGGGGGGGGGAGGAGGAGGAAGGGAGGAGGGAGGGGGGGAAGAGAGGGCGGGGGGGGGGGGTGGGGGGGGGACGTGGTGGGGAGGAGGGAACGGACGGGCCGTGCGAGTCGAGGAGGCGACAGGGGGTTTAGGGCGTTTGGGAGTCGGAAGAGCGGCAGAGATGTCGTTTAGGGAAGCACGCGAGTGAGATAGAAGTGGGATGTCTGTGCACTGAATATTGCAAGGGCAGCCACGGTAAAGTGCGGCAGATAGGGTAGGATTGCTGGATGGGGCTCCCCTCCCTCCCCCCCCCCTGCCAACACACACACACAAAGCCTCCAGCCCCGTTGTGCACACGATTTGATGGTGGTAGCTATTCCCCCGTGCCCACTTTGCAGGCGGAGTTGTTCGACAATCTCCTGCACAAGCTCAAATACTCGCCGCCTGACAGGTGCCACACCCATGCCTGCCACTCTCCTGCACTCCTGCTCCGGTTCCTTCCTCCCTTTCGCTGCTCCCACCCTCCCTTATTCTCGTCCCACTCTCTCTTTCCCTTTCACACGCACACTCTCTGTCTCTCTCTTTCTTTCTTGAATGGCCCCTCTATCCCCCCGCCCTTTCCCCATTCCATCCGCTCTCCTCGTTCGGTTTCAGCTTTCCTCGTCCCATCCAGGATGCATTGTCCCGCCTTACCTTTCCTCCACTGTGCTCTGCGGCATCCCTCACCTCACCCATCGCTCCACCCGTCCAGGCACTGCATTCTCGCGGCACAGCATGTGAGCCAACCACTTCCGCCTCCCAACCCGATCGATGGATCGCCTGCACGGGAAGCGCTAGGACGAAAACTACCAGCATCACCGCCAGCAGCAGCAGCAGCAGCAGCAGCAGCAGCATCGGCAGCGTGGCCAGCGGTGGTGGGCGTGGTGGACCTGACAGCGCTGGACGACCGCAGTGTGCTGAAGCACCTGTCGGGGGCGCGGGAGTACCTCTACCTTTCCGGCATGGCCGTGCACCCAACCCTCAGGTCAGTGCCATGCTGCAATGGTGCAGCTCCGGCATAAGATGATGCAACTCACTCGACACACTCCGCTCCGCTGCACACCACACGGCTTGAAGGTGATGAGGCGTTGGGTCGGGTCAATACATGAAGCTCTTCACAGCTCGCCGTGCCACTCCGTGGTCTGTCTGTCTGCCCCTATCTACTCTTGTGCGTTGCCTGCCAACAGTGTGTCTCTGCTGTATTCCCAGGGCTCATTTTCTCGCTCTCCCTCCCTACCCTCACATAAGCTCCTCCCGGAACACCAATCCCTCACCTCACATCACCCACCCAGTCCCCACCTCCTTTACACCCCGCTGTCCCCTCCCCTCATCTCTCCTCTCTTCCATCCCCAACGCCCTCTTCCCTTCCACCTCTCCCCTCCCTTACCCCTCCCGTCCCTACCCCTCCGTCTCTCCCTGCCCTCTCCCCCCCTCTCCCCAGGCGGGAGAGCATAGCATCGGTGCTGCTGGGGGCGGTGGAGCGGTTGTCGCTGCGGTGGGACTTTGAGTACATTGTGCTGCACGTGCACGAGGACAACATCGCCGCGCGCCGCCTCTACCAGAAGGCGGGCTACCTCGCTATCGACTGCGACAGCCGCTGGACGTCCACGCTGCTGGGTATGAGGCGCCGAGTGCTGCTCGCCAAGAGGACCAATGGGTACCTGAGCCGCGCTGCTGCTGCTGCTGCCGCCGCTAATGCTGCTGGTGCTCAAGATCGTGCTGCTGGTGTTGCGGAATCAAATGGTTTTGGTTCTGCTGCTGCTGCTGCAGGCACGAGTTTGAGCTGTGATGGTGCTGGGGGGGTGACGATGCATGGAGTTGCTGCCGCTGCCCCTGCCTCTGCTTCTGCATGTGGGTGTGCTCCTGCTGTGCCTGGTGCGGTGTCACTGGAGCACCTCAACTGGCAACCTACAGCAGTGTGCTCGTGACTCTACAACGCTGCACGCATGCTTGAGATTATGCTTGTGCAGTTACACCCATGCCTTCCCTAAGTCGTCCCATCCTATCCCATCGCATCCCATCCCATCCCATCCCATCACATGCCATGCCATCCCATGCCCTGCCAACTTCTGCCCCATCTCAACCTGGAGAGGGGTGATGCAAATGCTGTGTGCCGTTGTGTGTGTGCCTGCTTGCCAAAATGAAGAAGAAATCAGTAGCTAGTGTGTGCTTGCCAGAAGTACCCATATGTCTCGATGCCCTCATGCCAAGAGCAAGGGGTAGTTCTTGTCAACGTATGTTGATATAATGTTATAGGCTAGACAGGTGCATGCTCATAGCGAGTACAGCACCATAGCACAAAACCACCATGTATGCTTCATTCTAGTCATTCGATTACTCAGATGGTATCACACTAGGTTAGGTCCCCCACCTCTCCTTCCACCCTAGCCCTAGCCCTAGCCCGCGCCCTAGCCTGTGCCCTAGCCCGCGCCCTAGCGTGCGCCCTAGCCCGCGCCCTAGCCCACGCCCTGGCCCGCGCCCTAGCCCGCGCCCTAGCGTGCACCCTAGCATGCGCCCTAGCCCGCACCCTAGCCCGCGCCCTGCCCCCCCCCCCCCCCCGAGCGCGCCGCGCGGCCCCTAGCCCGCCGCTGCCCACCCCCGAGCACGCAGCGCGGTCCCTAGCCCGCCGCCGGCTGGCCGCGCACACCGCGGCCTGCCCGTGCTGCGTCTCCACTCTGACCATGGCAGCGAGTTTGCCTCCGGTCAGCTTGGACAGTTCTGTCGTGCGGAGGGCATCACCCAGTCGTACACCTTGCCGTACTCCCTGCAGCAGAATGGGGTAATCGGGCCCAGGGGGGGGGGGCGGCAGAAGGGGTGGTGGGGGTGGTGAAGGTGGCGGAGGTGGTGGCGGTGGTGGAGGGGACGATGGTGTAGACGAGGGGACCGGGGCTGATGCCCCGGTGCAGCTGCAGGAGCAGCAGCAGTAGCCCCAGCAGCAGCAGCAGCAGCAGCTGTCGCACCAGCAGCAGCTATCGCACCATCAGCAGCAGCAGCAGCAGCTGTCGCACCAACAGCAGCAGCCATCGTGGGGACCCCCGCCTCCGTGGTGGCCCGCCTCCGTGGTGGCCCGCCTCCGTGGTGGCCCGCCTCCGTGGTGGCCCGCCTCCGTGGTGGCCCGCTTACGGACTTAGGTGAGCAGCCTAGCTCTGCCCCGGTCCTGTACGCTGATAATAAGGCCATGATCCTCTTGTGTCCGGAGCCTCGACTGGAATGCAGAGCGAAGCACATCCAGCTGCGGTACTTCCTCCTGCGCGAGCTACAGCAGCTCCGCCAGGCCCGCGTAGTTCACTTGGCCTTCGGTGCCAACACAGCTGATAACTCTACGAAGGCGCTTGCGCCTAAATATTATCAACGGCATAGTGTACAGCTTGGTCTAGTTCCTATAGCTTCTCACGTGCTAGGTCCTTGAGTACACAATACATCTACATTACCTTGACTGGCCTTGTGGCTCCTGTTTCAGTGGCTGGGCTAGTAGTGCTGCCCTGGGTTGCTCTTGTTTCCGTTGTACTCTTCCTGACTGGTTTTCAGACCCTTGCCTTAGAGGTTGGTCTACCGTAGTAGTGCCACCCTGAGCTGTGTGTCCCTTGCTAGTCATTTCCCCTTGTCTAGCCTAGGGGGTTTGTAGGCTAGATAGGTGCATGTGTGAACTTATACATATGTTTGTACGTAGAAGTTGTAGACTAGATAGGTGTATGTTCTTAGAGGGTACGACTCTAACCCTATATCTTCCTTGTTCTCACTTGCTTCTAGTTATTCTCGTATTCTAACAAGGTATCATGAGTAGGTTAGGTCCGCCCACCCTTTTCTGCCCCTAGCCGTAGCCTACTGCCCTGCTGGGCTCTAGCGCGCCTGCCGGCCCCTAGCGTGCCTGTCGCCCCTAGTGTGCCCGCCGCCCCTAGCGTGCCCGCCGCCCCTAGCGCACCGCCAGCCCCTAGCATGCTCGCCGCCCCTAGCGTACCCGCCGACCCCTAGCATGCCTACTGCCCCTTCACTGCTGTGACGGCCTCTCACGTACCCCGTCGGCCCCTCACGAGCCTTGCTGGCCCCTAGCATACCCGCTGGCCCCAAGCGCTCAGCTGGCCCCTCGCGCACCTCATCAGCCCCTCGCTACCCGCTGCCCCTTAAGCACCCCGTCGGCCCCTCGCGCCTAGCCGGCCCCTTGTGCGCTCGCCCGGCCCCTCGCGCACCCGCCCGGCCCTACGCGCTCGCCGGCCCTTCGCGCTCACCGGCCCCTCAAGCACCCGCCGGCCCTTCGCGTGCTCGTTGGCCCCTCACACGCTCACCGGCCCCTCTCGCGCTCGCCGGCCCTTCCCGCGTGCCGGCCCCTCACGCGCCCGCCGGCCCCTCCCGTGCCCGGGGACCCCTCACACGCTTGCCGGCCCTTTCGCACGCGCCAGCCCCTCACGTGACCGCCGGCCCCTCCCGTGCCCGCCGGCCCCACCCGACCTCACCTGCCCCTTCGCGCCTCTCCTGCCTAGTCATGCCTCTCCGGCCCTTAGCACCTCGCCGGCCACCTAGCGCCCGGTTGGCCCCAGTGCTCTGCCGACTCTTTGCGCCCTGTTGGCTCTGCGCGCCCCAGGCCCTGCGCACCTCGGGCCCCTCTTCGGCCTTCCGCCCGGTCTTCTCACCGGAGAGAACTGCTGCTGTGCCGCCGTGTCGCTGAGTACATGTGCCACTGTGCTGCTGTGTCGCCGTGCTGCTGTGTCATCGTGCCGTTGTGACGCTGTGCCACTGTGCTGTGGAGTTTGCACGATGGCAGACGCTGTGCTTCGTCTGGACGCGGAGGGACAGGCGATCGAATTCGCCGACTGGCCGTCACCTGACAGGGCAGCGCCAGGATGGGCAATCACTAGCCATGCATGTTGATGGCTTGCTTCCCCGCCCCCCCGCGCATGCTCCCCTCCCTGCTAACCCCACCACTGCTGGGAGTGAGACCTTTGTTGCTACTGCGGTCGCTCGCACTGTCTGGGACTCTCGCGATCCTGTTGCGCAGCTCGCCATTAGTCATGCGCTTCACCTGTCTGAGCGTCCGCGCTTCACTACTGTCGCGATCGCCAGGGATTTCCTAGATGTAGTTGTTGCATGCTACTCCACACCCGCCTCCACCTCCGCTTGCTGCTTGATCCTCCCCATGCTATTCCCCGATCTTTCCGCTTTCCCCACTGTCACTGACCTCGCTACTCACCTCCGTGCACTAGAGATTAGCTACCTTGTTGCTAGCACTACTGCCCAGCTCACTGCCTTCCCCCCACCGTCTGTGCTACCCTATATCTTATTGCTATGCTCCTGCCTGACCGCTTAGCCACTGCCCGCGACCACTTCCTTAGCCAGCACCCACGTGATCTCGTCAATGCACTATCGCTCAGTCGAGCGGAATTGCGGCATCTTTCAGGGCTGTGCTCCCTCGCAGTGCACGTATGCCGACGTTTCAGCCGCGGTCGCTAAGGCTGCTCCTGCCACTAATACCGCAGCTGCAGCCTTCCCGCAGCAGCGACAGCGTCGAGGTTGTCACGGCCCCAAGGGAGGACATGGTTGGGGTGCCGGTGGTGGTGGTGGTGGCGGAGACAGTGGTTTTGACGGGGGGGCTGGGACTGGTGTCCAGGAGCAGCAGCAATCGCAGCAAACGCAGCTGCAGCAGTCGCAGTAGTTCCAGCAGCAGCAGCAGCAGCAGCAGCAGCAACAGACGCAGCAGCAGCCGCAGCAGCAGCAGCAGCAGCAGCAGCCGTGGGCTCGCGTCCCGCCGGGATGGCCAAGAGCCCCTAGAGGTGGTGGACGCGGTGGCGGTCCTCGCAGCTCGCCGTCTACTGGCGGCTTTGGTGCTGCGAGCTGCCTGTACCAGCTCCAGACTGGGCCCCTCCGTGGCACTGTGTGCCGCCGCCCGCACCTGACTGCCCGCTGCTTCCGCTGCCTCGACGACCTTTTCCGTCGCCGCTTTGGCCCGACCCTGTACCTCCCTGACTGGCCCAGTCTGCTGCACCACAGTGTGCCTATTTTTGAGTTAGACATGGATCATATTAGTTCTGCCCTGTATTCTTTGTATGCTGACGTTTCTAGTGTGCCTGATTCTTATTACCCTATGTTCTCTAGCTTAGGCATAGCACCTATGTGTAGTACAGAATCCCCTTCTACGTCAGGCGTAGGACCATTTGCTCCGTCTAGCCTAGGCTCTACCCTTGCTCCTCCTTTGTCTGCCGCTACCGCGTCGCCTACTTTCACACTTAACTCAGGTGTGTCTGCATGCTTCTTCCGCGACCACGCCACACTCACGTCACTTGCCGCGCCTGCCGCTGTCTCCCTTGCTGACCCCTCCTCTGGTCCTGTCGGTGCTCGTAGCTACACTATACTTCCTTGTCCAGCGGTTCCCTTGGGTTCCTTTACAGGCCTGCACATCCCTTCGTTCTACCGGAACTTAGTTGGTGTCGGCTGGCTTCAGGACCTCGGCGTCACCACTATGTTCCCGGGTCACGAGCGATACGCTGTCTGTACCGAGGCCGCCTTAGGTTCCCCCCTTGCGATGTTCCCCCGGGACCCGGTGTCTGACCTGCTTACGCTGGACACTGCGTCCCCCCCGGGTGCGGCGTCCTCCCTGGGTTCTGCGTCTACCCAGGTCAGTGCTGCGTGCTCGTGTCGGTCGCTCACTCACCCGTCGCTTCTGTGGCACCACCATCTAGGTCAACCCTCACTACCGCGCCTGCGTGACATGTCTCAGCACGGTCTCGTCCTAGGTCTCCCCGCATCGCTTCCTGCCCTCCCTCCCTCGCCTGCGCCGTAGTGCACACCCTGCATCGAGGGCCGGCTGCGCCGTCCTGCTCAATCCTCCTTGCTTCGTCCTGCCGCACCCCTCCAGACCCTGCACCTGGACGTCTGGGGCGGAGCCCGATCCCTGGACCGCGTCGTGAGCGCTACTTTCTAGAGCTCGTCGACAACTACCTGCGCTACACCACGGTGTTTCCCTTAGAGCGGAAGGACGACGTGCCAGATATTCTTATCCCGTGGGTCGTAGCTACGCGCCTCCACTGCGGTCTCCTTGTGCTATGTCTCCACTCCGACCATGGGGGCGAGTTCGCCTCTGGTCGGCTTGGACAGTTCTGTCGTGCGGAGGGCATCATACAGTCGTTCACCCTACCAGAAGAATGGGGTCGCTGAGTGATGCAATGGTTTAGTCATAGAGGTGGCTCGTACCTCTATGATTCATGCCGGTGCACCCCATTTTCTATGGCCGTTCGCTGTTCGCTACGCCGCTTGCCAACTTAACCTCTGGCAGCGCTCCCAGCGTCTGCATGTTTCACGGATCCTTCTTTGGACCGGGTTCCGTGGTGACGCGTCTGCGT